GATGTGGGACGGCTACACCATCTCTGACACACGCTTCTTTACCCCCCCCCCCCCCAAAAAAAGAAACGCTTCTCTTCTCATTGTCTTTGTCTTTGTTGATTCTCTTGGCCGAGATTGGTGTGTTAATATCTATAGATGTTCTAAGCAGATTTAAGTCAGCAAATGATTCCAGTCCCATGGGTTTGGGGGTTCCATGGACGATCTTCACCAGTGCAACAGGATTGAATAAGTGGTGGACTCCCAACTCAATTGAACATATACACTCCATGGGACTGGAACATAAGGCCGCCTCGGAAAGACCCCTGGCCTTAACCACCTCTGGCCAAGCATCTCTCGGCGCTATGTCTTTCCCAGACAGGTCGCGTTTTTGGGGACAGGTGCACTTTGTTCCAAGCAGCTCTGCTCCGCTCATTCCCAGGAGCTCTTGCAGTCCGGTGCTCTAGAGCTGGCCCCCGGCGTGCGAGTGCACGAGGTCGAGGGCGAGGATGGGAGCAGAGCATCGGGGGTGGGTTCTTTGTGGGGGCAAAGTATATGAAAAAGTGCTCGTTGTTGGTTTTTTGGGGGGGGTCAGAGGGGAAAAATGAAGGACACCTATACAGCCTAAAGCGACCTATACAGCCTATACCGACCCAAAGAGGCCTGAGATAAAGTTTTCTTCGGTGCCGCGGGCTCCGTTCATCGCTTGGTGCCGGTGTCGCAGTCCATGCGTCGGATGTTCGGGCGGTGTTGCAGCGAAGAGGCGGGAAGAGGGCTTCCCAACACCCGTGGAACATGAAAATGGACACTTGGAACACTAGCTTCCTCCACTGGCGCCAGTGGTTTTCAGGTTCCATGTTAATCTTCCATGGCAAATTTGGCTTTGTTTTTAGGGCGAAATCATGGCAATCCCAACCTGGGGGGGAATATAAAATATGTATAAATATGTTAGTGCTTCCGTGTTTTAAATGTTTCTTCAGCACATCCAAGATCAACACCGTGTGAAAGTTTCCGAGCTGGGACCCAGCCAGTGGGCCACATGCCATGCAGAGAATCACCAAAGACGCCGCAGTGGCGCAGTTTCGCCGGCGATGCTGAACATTTGCTTGGCTCGGTGATTCACACACATGTCAAGCAACAGTTTTCGAAAGATGTTCCAGTCTAGTCCCTACCCAGTCCAGTGGATCTCCTTTAACCTTTTTTGGGGGGATGGAGGACACCCGACTCAAACATGAGCAGATGCAGTAACAGATTGGTGACTTTTGATGGGTGACACCCCACTCAAATATGATAGCCGTTTGGCAACACTGGCTAGGATGGGGTGGCTTGACCCCCTGGCTTTAGCCAGCGGGCCGACCCCACTAGTGGGTTTAAGAGGTTGGCTAATTTGGATCATATTGGATCCTGGAGCTAGACCCTGGTTGACTAAAACAGATGCAGAAGTTCAACAGATCTAGGATCCTATCATTTTAGCCGAGTCACTTTAGCAACCGTGTCTTTTGTCAATTGCTTAGGCCAGCAACAGTCAATAACACTAACAGAGGTAGGACTAGGTCATTTTAGCTGAGTCATGTTTGCTAGATCATTTTACTTGGATAATCTTGGATAAAACGGTTTGTTTGGCCAGGGTCACCAAAACCACACCAAGAGAACCAAAACCCATGGAAGTTTTCTTGGCTGCAGGTAAGGTCTTAAGCCCTGGCTTGACTTTGAAGGTTGCCCCCTGCCACTTCAGCTGAACACTTTGCACAGGTTTCAGGAGGAAACGCATCAAACCCCCCCCACATTGCTGGAGGATGACAGCTGAATAAATTGCTGGTCCTGGTACGCTGACCTTTTCTGCTGTTTTCATGTGATGTTGGCTCCATGCCATGGGCTCACAAAGTCTGCCACAAGCCACTAACGTGCAACCAGAACAATTTGCAGTTTGCCCGTGTCCGACACTGCAATCAATACACATAACCTTGAGCGCCAAAGGGGATCAAATCGACTTTGGCAGGGTGTCCAGGGGTGGTTTGCCCTTTCGAGTCATGACCCTAAGAGCCCAACAGCCCCAGCATGTCAAAGTGTATCATGTTGGGGTCGTAGGCATTTTATCTAGGGTTTGGCTGAGATGGACCAAATCAAGCTCTTTGTTGGGTTCCTAGATTTTATCTAAGGCGTGGTGGCTAGGATGAGGTTGGACCCCAAATTAGCCAGGGTCCCAACCCCACTGGGCCTGCCCAGACGACTATAAATATGAACAGATGGTGAGTTCACTTCGGTTGGACCTCTTTTTTGCGGTTGGGCATCTCGCGCTGTGGGAGTCCACCGTCGCCTGGGCAGAGCGGCGCTGCCCGGCGCCCAGCGCCAGGTCATGTCGGCCCCTCGCACCTCGCGCTGGGCGGCCGCCGGTGGCAGGCGGCGCGGTGTCGTTTGTGCCAGCCACGGTCTGTGCTATACGGTCTGTTGAAAGGAGATGACTGTTCTAGCATCCCCCGCCAGCCTGGGTCTCTAAGAAATGGGTCCCAACAGGCCACCCACGGGGGATGTTCTAGGATGTTCTACAAAAGGCGATGAATCTGTGTATATATATATATATATGAATCCTGGGATCCATGGGTAGTCATGCAGGTATTCAGATGTCTTCATGCATGTCCTCAGCCAGTGACACAGGTTGGAGAGCATCAACGATGCAGCAGCGGCCTTGTTGGGTGATGATCAGCAACGACACTGGCACCGCGGCGGCGGAGATGAAGTCCAAGGGCTAACCTCGTACCTGGACCATCCTGTTTGAGTGTCCACTGGACTACCCTACATATATACTACTCATTAGTAGATTTCTTTTGTAGATGTCCTTATTTGGATGGTCCAGGTAGTTGAACTGTTTGTTATGGTTTAACTTATCATTTTGTTTAATCTATTTTGGGGCTTCAGCTCAGTCGGTTTACATGTTCATGATATGTGCTGGCAAAGGCAATCAGGTCGGTCGCCGGGGTCACGACCGTGCCTCGACCTGCCGAAAAAGGTCAAAGGCTCCGCTACAGCGGAGGATTCCAAGCACCACTGATGTTAAAATCTGTAAAACCTAATATATACCACGATCATCCAATGGGTGTCCAATAGACTACCCTACCCTACAGAAAAGGTCTCCAGACAGGGCACCCATTGGAAGTGCTAGGTAGTGTTTACCAAGCAATCATTGTTTTCCTAAGGGTTTTCGGACTACCACACCAGGTCCTCAGGTGAACCTTCCATTTGGAAGGCTTGGGCAGAGTTTGACCTTATCAAATCATATCAAATCCATCGAGCACCAGGTCAGACAGCTTCTTCAGACTCCGAACACCTGAAGAAACAGAATGTTTTTAGACAAGATCGGTAAAATCAACTTGGTAGACAGCAGCCTTCCTTGGTTTCGGGCAGACGGAGCCAGACCACGCGGATGGAACCACCGCAGATGTTGTAGCCAGACCATCCATGGAACGAATAGATGTTCACATTGACCCCTGAAACCATCCCAATATAGGAGGCCATACATAGGTGGTTTGGAATATCTAGACCTTGAAGCGGTGTTCAATTGTTTGCGGCACCCAGGTTCCACGCTGGGTGAAGTGAACTCTTGTCGTTGCTCCAAAGACATACCAACAGAATGCACATGTCTGAGTGCGGGTTAGGGGATTTCACTGGGAATCCAGGGCAGGCGTCTTTGTGTTCATATGCGTTTGCACTATGGAGCAGATTGTTTTTTGAGAGTCATGCCAGAAACGTCGCATGGAAAACTCAGCAAATGACCAAGTCGACATGATTCGAGTGGGGTGACGGTCGTGGGGTGACATGAGGACCAACGTTGACTCGGTTGACTGGGCTCCCCAATTGCTGGTTTCGTCTCTTCGCTGTTTCCCGTGTACCACCACATCTTCCCATTCTTGCATCAACATGAAGCAAATGGTCTGGCTGGTGGTGTCAGATCATGTGTTCAACCTGCTACTTGCGATGTTTGGTGACTTTTGAAGTGACACATCGATCGACTGGCTGACATGGCGGCTTGGAACCACCACGCAGACGGTGCTACCACGACTCCTCTGGGCCTCAGCGAGGTACCAACGCTACTTGGGCCTCAGCGTCGAAAAGCTCTGAACCGAGCCGAGCGGAGCCTGACTGTGCCGAGCCTCGACGGCGGGCTGCGGGTGGGGAGAACGCAAAAGGGGCGAGGGGCGTAGCCACGGGGGGGAGGATGTTTACTCTTCAAGGTGTTGATGGAGTAGGTGACATCGTACAAGTATGCTTTAAGAAAGTGATGGGGGTGCAAGGCCAACCAACCTTTGTTGAGAAGGTGAGAAGGTATTTGGATCCACGGGGAGTAGCGTCTCGACTTCGGCTTCCCAGCTGTTTCACCAACGAAACATGACCGCCACAGGTTTGGCATTCAAAAATATAAAACAGCTCTAAGACTCCGGGCCCTCAAACACATCTGGACCCCTGCTATGGAGAGTCTGACCCCTGCGATAGAGGGCCAAACACGGAGTCTAAAGGAGAGAAAAAACTGCAGCTCTCGAGTTGGTGGGCCCTGTTGATGGATGATGGAACGTTCCTCCATTCTTTTGTGTACATGCCAGTCAGCAAAGCGCTATACTGGTGCCGGTGCCACAGAAAGTCCAAGTAGGACCCGGTAGGACGTCTTGAAACTCATGGTTCTTTTCTACACAGATGCCATTGCGGATGCTTGTTTTCGGTATGTGTGTGTGAGGAGAGTTGGCGTATGCGAGGCTCAAAGATGAATTGCAGAGACATTGACAGAGCCACGACTGACCCAGCAAGACCAGCGCAAGACAGCAAGACTTGGGAGATGTAGACCTAAACCGGGGTCAAGTTGCCAAGGATTTGTTTGGGCAGCGCCTTGCAACACCCAGCACAAGGTCACACGGTATTAAGGATAGAAGTCGTACAGTATGTAGATATGATATATGTATTTGATCTCCGATACCGTGCCCTAGTGAAATGGCATGGATTCCTTTGAGAATCAGCAGACAGCCAACAGACAGCCAGCAGACAGCCAGCACCAGCTCTTCCGATATTCACCGTAGAAACCATGGCAACGCCTTGTGAGGAGGCCAGGATTCCAATGGAGATGGATGTGGTGCATTTGGTCGGGTTCAGGTGAGCCAGGGAGTTTGAAGTCTATACATGCTTGACACACCGGACACCCTAGCTGCCCCTTCTGAGAAGAGTTGTTTTTGGTGATCCATATACTTGGTGATCTGTGACGACAATGTCAATGAATTACAGGCGGCCTTGTGAAGAGCTGCATGAGGAGGTTGGTCTTTGGGGGAAAACCTCTCAAGTAAACACACATGTGGCTTCTAATTATATAGTCTATTACATGGTGTGTTTCTTTTGCTGTATATATCCTTCTCCGTGTTTAGCCAAATTTCTTGAAGCATCATCAAACACCCACCGTTTGCCAGGAGGCTTCCCTGTCCGCTTGCGCTGCCTGCAAAGCAGAAGGCGAGTCCCGAAACGGCGTCTTCATGGCATGGCATGGAGCCATACCCAGGTTTTGGCGCATCCTCGTCATCCTCCAAATTCTCCAGGTTCTGGAGACATTCCAAGCTATTGTCATGTCCAGTGCTTCCAGAGCTTCGATGGCACTGGCACCCCAAGATGTTTGAGACAGATGCGGGGTCCATATAGCAAGCCACCAAAGATTCTGGGGACTCCGGGGACTGTGCCATTGACCTTTGAAACCACATGTATTGTCATTTCGCATGTGAAAGCTTGAACCGACGATCACGGATAGGTAGCCCATGTGGTAGTGGATGATCAAGGATTGTTCGTGCTCAGTGTCCAAGAAGAATGCAGCTGGCAATGGTTTACATCGAGGAATCCATAGACTGGACATGATTTGAACATTGAAGGCGGTGAATAGAACTGGTTTCGTGTATTATGTAAATGATACGCCCATTCAAATTGATACACTCATGTTCCATGGTGTTCGTTCATGTTTAATATGTGCTGTAACTTGGGATGTTCCATTTCAAACAATACGCCCATGGTCCAACGGAAGTGGAGGGCGAGCTTGCCATCATCCCCTGCAGACCTGGCCAGGCAACACAGCCTATGCCGGGGCCTCAGTCATATATACGGATATCCGCTGCTCAGGGCCGGCGATCGCCTGCGAACGGGGCTCCGCAACGGGGCATCGACAGAAAATTTTCTCCCCATGTGGCGAGTGGTTCCCCCATGTTCGAACCAAAAGCTTCATTTGCGACGTGTCGTTCAAGTTTAAGGTTGTTTTTGGCTCAAATACACGCATGCAGGCACGAAGCACATACGTACCGCACGTCGCAGGTCGCAGGATCACCGGGTCGCAGGGCTCTTCATGTGGGAGAGTGATGTGGGTTCTTGAACCAGTCTCAGAACCAGGGGTCGAGTGATACACTTGGAAATCCCATGAAATCTCTGAGGTCGAGTGAGTCTTCTTGTCCCCCAGGGTTTCCGTCTCAGAAACATGCTTCTTCTGTCCTTCGGTGTGCCCCGTTGCGGAGCGCCGCGCACACCCGGGGACCGGTCGACACCGGTCGGACGAAGACCTGGAGATCTCGTCCATCTTCCAAAGTTCTGCCGCACTGGGCTGAGGCATCTCCCTAGGGCTCCAACCACCTGAGGACGATGGTTGGAGCCCTGGGTTTATGGATGAAAGGATAGACATTTGTCAGGTGGACAGCCAGATCGCATCCCATGTCCCATGGACTGGCATCGCTGGCTGGCGGTTTTTTTCCAGGATTCACCTGGGCACCGGACCGGAGTCAGGACCGGACGCTGGACATGGATGGATGAACGTAGGTGCTGCTTGAACCGCCGCTGCTATAGGGCTCAACTTCTAGATTCCCACCAAAAAACAAGCAAAGTCCAATTTCTGATTTAATTTGTAGGACCATGTGTCGACCATTTGTTCGATGTTTTCCTCAATGACAGGTGTCGCCCTGCACTTGCCTGGTGAAGCCAAGCATGTGTCCATGACCGACAGCATGTTGAGGCTAGCCAACAAGCAATGAGCTCAAATTCAAATCCAAATTCGTCTTTGGGCCATGGCAACGAACATTTCAGTGCTACAGCCGAGTGGTGAAATCCAGGCATTTGAAGTGATGCCAGAGACAACATGCCGGGCACTCAAGCAGCAGATCAAAGAGAGAAAGGCTTGGGACAAGCTCACACTTAGCTGGCCGATGATGCAAAGGTATTGGACGCTGGAATTGCTGAAGATACTGTTGCGAGTGTTGTCTTCAAACCAAATGTTGTGATATGCTCTAGCAAAGATGCCATCGCCGCCAACAAAAGTGCCGTCACTGACTCGGAACTGTTGCTTGTGGTTGAAATTCCCAATGATGAAACACAAGTTCATGAAAGCGCTTTCGAAGGTTGCGACACATTGGCCAAGTTGACCATCCCGGACGCTGTGACCCACCTTGGGGATTATGCCTTTATGAATTGCACAACTTTGGTAAACTTGACCATCCCAGACTCAGTGACCCACATCGGGAATGCTGCTTTTCGATACTGC